CTGATAATCACTTTGCCATTTGTGGGGTTATATAATCGAAAAGCTTTGGATTCAGAGCAATATCCAATAAAGATGCACTTTTCAAATTTTCCATCAAGCTTTTGATGATGTTGAGAATTTATTAAAGCATATGCAATACAACCAAAAATTCTCAAATGACTTACCCATGGCTTTCTACCTTTCCAAGCTTCAACTGGTGTTTGACCTATGACTGCTCTTGTAGGAGACATATTGAGCAAATAAAATGCAGTATGAATTGCCTCAGCCCAAAACTGATTTGGAAGATTCTTGCTCTTCAGCATGCTTCTGGCCATCTCCACTACGGTTCGGTTCTTTCGCTCCGCAATTCCATTTTGCTCCGGAGTGTAAGGTGCAGTCAATTCCCTGTGAATGCCATTATCTTCACAAAATAACTTAAACTCTTGAGATACAAACTCACCTCCTCTGTCTGTACGAAGAACCTTAATTTTAGTACCAATTTGGTTCTCAACTAATGCCTTGAATTTTTTGAAGTTTGCAAAAGTTTCTGATTTGAACTTCAAAAAATATACCCAACTCATACGACTAGAATCATCTGTGAATAGTAGAAAATATCGAGAAATAGCAAGCGATTGCGTATTCATAGGGCCACACAGATCTGCATGAATAATTTCAAGACAACTAGTAGCTCTCCAAGATTTTCCTACAGGGAAGGATTTTCTGTGTTGCTTGCCATATATACAACCTTCACACATATTTTCAACAGATTTTATGTTTGGTAAACCATGAACCATCTTATGTTGACTCAACAGCATCAATCCATTCATATTCAAGTGTCCATAACGTAAATTCCACAACTTAGATTCTTCAAGATTTCTTTCACTAACAACCAATGCTTGTTCTAATTTTGAAATTTCAAGAGGAAACATTTTGTTCTTTGTCATATGAATACTTGCTAAGATTTGACCCGTCTTTTTATTTTTAATAACACATAATCCATCATCAAACAAGACAGAGAATCCATTATTCAATAATTGCCCAACACTTAGCAAGTTATGAGCCAAACTAGGAGCAAAGAGAACATTTTGAATAAGTTTTACTTTACCTTGACTCGTTTGGACAGCCATAGTACCTTCACCTTCAACATGTATTTCCTTGTTATCTCCAAGCCAAATTCGCCTCCTTTTTGTCTCATCTAACTCTCTAAATGCTGACCTTTCTCCAGACATGTGATGGTAGCAGCCACTATCAACAAACCAAACACCAATCTTATGATCCATGATAGTAGAGCGAGCCATAAAAAGCATGCTTTCTTCTTGTTCTTCCTCTGCATAACTAGCTTGATTGTTTTTGTACCAGCAGTTAGCTTCTATGTGACCGAACTTGTGGCAGTTGTAACATTGCACTCCATTTCTACCACGTCCAACTTGGCATCTGCCTCTACCACGTCCTCTTCCTCTAAAAGCACCTCTCCCACCACGTCCTTGTGTTCTTTGCTCTAGCGACTTCTCATTATGAATTGGAGACTCTTCCTTAACTTGAAAAGCTTGTTCTTCATTCTTCTCAATCGACTTGTTGATTCGTGACTCGTGAGATAGCAAAAAGCCCATTAGTTCATCAAACAAAAACACAGATAAGTCTTTTGATTCCTCAATGGCTGCAACCACATGATCAAACTCGCGGCGAAGAGATTGTAGTTTTACAGTAATTACCTTTGAAGAACCTTGAAACTCTTTTTTCAAGATCAGCGACGCCTCTTTTGAGGTAGTTGTTGCTGCAATTCTTGAGAAAATTATCTCATGAACAGCTTGCTGAATAAAGAACAAAGCTTTGGCATCCGTCTTTTAATATCCTCTCATCCTCTGCATCCGGCTCGTCCACATTAACAAACCCATCTTCAACTAAGTCCCACAATTCTTGAGACTTAAACAAGGTCTTCATTTTGATACTCCAAAACTCATACTTCTCGCCATTGAAGACGGGTATGAGTGGTTGTGAAGAAGAGGAAATAGCATTTGCTGCCATACCTTTTTGTTTTTCTCGTATTTCACTCCCTCGCGTATTTCTCTCCTTATCCCTCTATCGCCCAGTCAAAGACCGAACGCAGGCTCTGATACCACAATGTAGCAAAAGAGATTCTCTTGAACTAGAAAACTTAAAGCAGATGCAGAGAAGCTAAAAGAGATATTCTGTAGAAGGGCTTATTTTATTAACTGAAAGTGGTGTGCCTTTTATAGGCTTACAAGCTCGTAAAGATAATATCTATCCATAACACCCATTTGACTAAAATCTAGGAAATGACCAGAAAAACAACAACCAAATTAGATAAAATAGCAACTGACCTAAAGACTCTGTCAACTCTAGTAAAAGACTTATTCAACTCACAGTAAATAACTTCATCCAGCCAATAAACTTAAAAGAGTTTATTGAATCAGTTCCCAACAGATATTCCAAGAATAACCAAATGGAGTATAAGTAATAATTGCAATCTTTTTCATTTTCAATGAGAAACTGTGCATACCTGAAGGTATCTGGACACTCATCTGCAGTACTGAATGAATAAATAGAGGATAACATGGATATAACATCACTGAGTGCTTCCTAACTTCCAATCAAACGAAAACAAATGGGAAAACGACAAAGACTTGATGTGGTTATATCCATATATGGTTGTACAAACCTTATTTGCCACAATATCTTTCATCTTCAGAATTACTCTAACACACCCCTTAGATTGAGGCCAATAATGGCTCAACTATTTAATCTAAAGTCTAAAATGCAACAGAGCAGAAGTGTCATCCAGCCCTTTGTTACTAGTAGTGTACTCCTTAATTGTGGTTTCCTTATACTTTCGAGGATTATGTTCTGATATCAACTCCTGGATAGGTCCATATAACCTTTCTGTTGGAAGAAAACTTGTCGTGCAAAAGCATGCCATTGATATCCTTGGACCAACCTTATTTGCCAGTACTATATGTTCAACACTTTTGAACTTGTCATTTGATATAAGCTGAAAATGACACAGCCAAAAATCAATGATCAACTTTCTGTTTTTGTTTATAATCATCTAATACTTATATTACATGCTGATAAGACAAGTATCTGTTACAGCTACGCAAGAATCTTAGCAAGCTCTTTAGGGGTCGTTTCGTAGCTGGTTATAGGGTAAGTTATTCCTGTATTAGGAGTAACATAACTAAGCTCCGGGAAGGATTAAAGAAATGTAACACTTGCCTGAAAAAGATCTCCAATATTGACCACGAGAGCTCCGGGAGTAGGGGGAACATCTACCCAATGGTTTTGATGTAGAACTTGGAGACCGCCAATATTGTCTTGGAGAAGCACGGTGAGGAAGTTACTGTCAGCATGCTTCCCAGATCCTAGAGTAAGTTCTGGTTGTGGGCATGCTGGATAATAATTGCCTAAAGCCATAAGCCCCTCGCTACAGCCCATACCGTTGAGGTGATTTGGTTTGAGGCCAAGAGCCTCAGACAATAGTTCAAATATAGTGTATGCTAGTTTCATCACTTGGTTTGTGTACTCAAAGAGAATATCCCTATCACAGATACACAATAAGCAAATTATGACATATCACATTAAGAATTAGAGAACATATTGTCTATATCGATCAAATAATACCTGCAGACAGAGGGAAATTCTTCAAGGTTGGGAGGTATAGGAGCTACTGTGGAAAAAAAAGTGTCCCTCCAGTTGGTTACTGGTGCTCTAAACAGATCAAAGTTGCTATGAAATATAAACATTTTTGTGAAATCTCGCGAATACCATTGCTTCTTCACCACAGTATCTTGTTCAAAGAACCTGATAACCCCATCTTTCATTTCCTCCATAACATGACTAGGAATCCTGATGATAGGCTATAATTACGTATTTTAGTCGATTATTACACTTTAATTTACTGCACTTTAGTTGAGTTTGCGCTTTAATCGCTAGTGTTTTGCACTAACTGTGTGTTTTATGCCTTGTAGGAGTGATTTCGAGCTATGTAGATGTTATGGAATGAATTCAAGTGATTTGGAGCTTTGAAGTCTGAGTAAAAGTTCAAGGAATTAAGCCGGGATCGTGTTTGTGGGTCAACGGATGATAGTTAGAGCGAACGAAGACTCCAGTAGGCATATTGCGCACTGTCTAGTAAAGTAGACATAACATTTTTCTCAGAACTCCATTTGGGATCCACAATATATGGTTGGAATGGTAACTCAAAGGGCTACAACTTTCATGTTTTATGTCTTTCCAAATTCGAAACGGAACAGGGTGAAAAATGCGCGTCAATAGGGCAATCGCGCTCAGGTCGCGCTCGTCAGGCAGAACACTGGGCCACTAGCGCGACCACTAGCGCGATCGCGCTAGTCAAACCCGGGAAAAGTGTCCTTTTTCACATTGGAGAGGGCATAATTGTTTGGTCCCAACCCTACTTGGTATATATACATGGAAAAACGGTATTTTGAAGGAGGAGGGCGTTTTTGAGAGGAAAATACAAGCACAGAGCCGTCGTGGAGGCCGGGTTTCATCTTTTCTTCCACCAAACTTAGTAATTTTTATGTTTCTTTGTATGATTTGTTGTTTTGCTACCATGTCTATGTGGAGCTAAAATTCACGTTCTAGGGTTGTGATTCTTTCATGACTATTGTTATTCGGATATTGATTTTGATTTCTTAGTTTATCATATTGGTTTATTTATTTAATCATGCACTTAATTATTTGATTGCTTGATCACCAATTGAATACTATCTACAAATCTAGAGTTGAAGTCGAAAGTGGGAATTCTAGATTGCATATAGGATTGAGTAGAGCAAGTTCTTGAACCTGGGCATCGGGGAACGAATTCGCGGTTAGGATAGATATATACCTAATTGCCTTGCTTGGTTTTTTTACAGGAATTATAAATGCGTTCTTGTTGATTCTAACTCCATAGACATATAGGCGTTAGGTTAGCTTGAATAGGCAAGTAAGAACTCGACAGATTCTTATGAGCAATATTAACCCTGTCAACCAATAAACTA